TCCACGTGAATAGGAGTTGACTTTTTGAATAATAAGAATTATATGTCACGTGGGGGGGCATCATGATTTTAGGTACATTTTTCACATTAATTATACATACATACATATATATATATATATATATATATATATATATATATATACAAGTATAGGATTGGTGTATACGGAATAAATTCAATAATCAACAATTACTATTCTTAAAAGAGTGCTTAATACATAGTAGAGCAGATATAATTATTCATTTAAAAAATATAACATAAATATGTTATAAAATCACTACAAAAATAGCCATTTCGTTACATCACCTCCAGTGTCTTATCAAGTGATGATGTTGAATGTGGAATAAATGGTTTTAAAGGTTTCAAATTAATTAAGGATCGTTAATTAATTTGAAACATTTAAAACCATTTATTCTAAATTCAACATCATCACTTGATAAGACACATATACAGTCAAAAAACAAACAAATAACCAGCTTTAAATGTAACAAATAAACCCCCATTTTTTCAAAAATTTAAAAAAAATAAATAATTATAATAATAATTTTTACCTATCATAATTTTACATTAAACCCCACCACACGTATATACATACATGCGAGGAAATATTTCTCAAGAAAAAAAAAAAAAAAAAATTTTCATATGACATGGATACATTCACGAGACATTAACGAGACATTTCCGCCACACTTCCAATGTTTAAATTTCAACATTTCAACATACAAATGCGTATGTATAGACATAACACCACCCGTATACATACATGTGTCATAGCCGAAACTGCCCACATATGTTTATATATGTATGAGTCCCGACGGATGACCATGTATGTATATGTGTCTGCATACATCGATGTTTGCGTTAGTACGATGAATGACAAAACGACGAAATTTCCCCCACCACCTCCACAATAACACCAATACACGCAATCTACATCAACCATTCGCGCTTGCATGGAATACTGCTGCCATATATGGGGGTGGAACCCCCGCTGTTCGTCTCAAGGTCCTCGACAAAATCCAGAGGCAGATATGCAGTGTGGTCGGTCCTGGTGTGGCATCTCGTCTACAGTCACTTTCTCACGGACGTGCCATCGCTTCCCTCTGTCTTTTTCTACAAGTACTTTCACGGTAACTGCTCCGACGAGCTATTTTCTCCGGTTCCCAAACTGCATGGATTTAAGCGTGTTACTAGGTTGACATCTCAGTCCCATCCTTTCACTGTCAAAACGGTTAAATGTAGCCGCCTCTTCTATTCCAATAGCTTCATGTCTCACACTTCCAGTCTGTGCAACTCCCTTCCTCTTACTTGCTTCTCTGACAGTTATAGTCTTCAAATATTCAAATCGACATCTTCTGATGCCTTGATCTAATTCCCCATCCTTCTCTTTATCCTTTCCTCAATCACGTCTCTTTAATCTTGCTCCCACTCTCTGTAACCCACTTGCTAGTGGCACTTCCACCTTGCTTGGGGAGAAATGCTTAAAAAAAGATACGCATATGTATATATAATCCTACTTAAGCTGTTTTTTTCTCACTTAGGACGAGAATTAATCCTTAATTAACGCGGTAACATGTTTTTTAGATCTTTTATGCTCTCCTCCACCAATAAGAGTAGATAGGTTCGCACATCACCCGGTTCACACTCCTTCCCGTTCTATTATACATCACTCGGTTCACACTCCTTCCCGTTCTATTATACAATAGTTGAGGTTTATCCCTTGTTTCCTGTTTAGGATTGGGTTTCTGGTTCCTTCTAAAGTCTATTTCAGCTCTATACTCCTAACTCTTGTCTAACTTCTAACAACTATCCTTTCCTACGCTAATATAACTCCACACAGTAACCCTCTACCTTGAGTGACTCTTAGACCTTGTATTGGGCGAATATTACTAAACAATAAAAATTCAAATACACACACACACATACATATATATATATATATATATATATATATATATATATTGTTAAATATAACAGATAAAAATAATGTCTATTATGTTTGATCAGGAAGTGTTCTAAACTCCGTATATATGCTTTAATTTCGGGTGAAAATAGACAAAAATTGTCCAATATTTGGATTTTTTTTTTTTATTAAGCCGTTCCTTGATCTAAGCTTTCGGCTCAGATGAGCCATCTTCGGAGTGGCTATGCGGACAGTTTAACAAATCTGTTCACCATCAAAGATGATATTCTGTTATGCTGACATAGAAGATTTTCTATGCGACGATAACGGTCGCGGAATATTAGACGCAGGTTGTAAATTCATGATGCGGTTCTATGATGTCGTACAACGTGAGAGACAGAAATATTAACAACAGATCATTTGTTTAGATGCAATGTAATGTGTTGTGGCTAGTTTGGAACGTAATTTTGTTGAGTGTGGGTTGCTTTGTTTTAATATATCTCCAATATCTGAAGGTTTTTTTACTATGCGCATGTGCGAGTATTGTTGTGTTATCAACTAATATTTGTCTAATATTATGTACATGGATTTGTTTTTCTAAGAAATGATGTTTAATAGAACTAAGATCAGAAAAGGAACAGGTAAGTCTACGAGAGAGCCATGGTTGTAGCAAAAACCAATATATGTGGTTTAACAATTCTGCTGCCCCAATACTCTCTCTCTCTCTATATATATATATATATATATATATATATATATATATATATAAACTTCAAGAAAAGTTTGGTCACTTTGTCGTGTAAGAAAATCTTTCTCGTCAGATCCCATCTTGCACATTTATAAATCTACAAATCGGTGCATTTTTTTTTTTTTTTTAGTCTACCATCCCTGTTCTTTTTGTCCATAAATTTCTGGATCGCGTAAAAATTTTGTTTGTTCCCCCGCTAGCACCACCACCACAGTTGTCTGGCTTTGATTAATCTGGTCATCTATTTGACATTGCAATCAACCGAAGGTCAACTATCTCCTCACGTTTGAATCGGACTGCCGGAATCGGACTGAGTTAAAACCGTTTTCCATTTTTTTTTTTTTTTTATATATTAATCAGTATATTTATTTTCGTTTACCGGCCTGTAATTTTGAAAAATCTTATTAAAGAAAAGTGCTCTGGCAGGATTCGAACCTGCGTTCCTCTGGGGCTATCGTTAAATCCGTTAAGTTCTGAAATTTTAGATATTTATAGTTTTGTAACTATACATGATATAATTAATCTCAAAAAAGGGATAAAAATTGTTTTTTTTTAATTATCGTTTTGTTTTTGAAACTATTTTTTACTTTTTTTTTTTTTTTACTAATATTCCCCCCAATGCAAGGGGGTAAGAATTACTAAATGGTTACCGTGTGGAGTTATATTAACGTAGGAAAGGATAAGAGTTAGAAGTATAGTGCTCAAGTAGACTTTAGAAGTCCGGTTCCTTGTACCACGGTGATAGTCCAAGGTAGAATCAATAAAGAAGAACTCGAACACGTATATGGAATAACACAGATATATTACAAACAGGAATATGTACAGAGAAGTAGATAGTGTTAGTACGAACAATCAGGTTTAGTAGAGAGAACAATGTAGTCTCGACCAGTATCACTATTCCAATGTCTTGTAGTAATTGTCTGAACACGACTCTGTTTCGGACTGCCTCTGACTCGACTCTTGACTCGACTTGAACTACTGACTCGAACTACTGACTCGACGATATTCAGTCACCCCCCCTCACGAGGGCGTCATGTGACACAAGGCCTTTTTAACGTGGGATCTCCGAGCCCGTGGGTTCGACCAAAAATATGCCCATTGAACCCGTATAAACGGGTTCAGGGTCGGTTTACCTCTCCGAAAGAGAATCCGCCCTTCGGCGTAGCCTCGTTCGGGTTCCTCCCCGCCTGAAAGCAGAGAGTTCAACCAATCAGCCGGTCGAGACTTGAACGACTCACTCGACGATATTCAGTCACCCCCACGAGGGCGTCATGTGGCACAAGGCCGGTTTAACGTGGGATCTCTGAGCCCGTGGGTTCGGCCAAAAATATGCCCATTGAACCCGTATAAACTGGTTCAGGGTCGGTTTACCTCCCCGAAAGAGAATCCGCCCTTCGGCGTAGCCTCCTTCGGCTTCCTCCTCACCCGAAAGCAGAGAGTTCAACTGATCAGCCGGTCGAGACTTGAACGACTCACTCGACTCCTTGCCTACTCCTGAGGCGCAGTATTTATTAAGTATGGAATAGTCCATTATTATTATTATGGGTAAGGTCCCATAACAAGAAGGAACTAGAAACCCAATCCTAAGCAGGAAACAAAGGATAAGCCCCAACTTTTGTATAATAGACCGGAAGGAGTGTAAGCCGGGCGATAGGCGAACCTATTAACTCCTATTGATGGGGGAAAGCATAACTGATCTAAAAAAAAACCCAAAAAAACATGTTATCAGGTTAATCGAATACACGCTTAACGTAATGGTGTTAATTAAGGATTTTCTCTAATTCCCAAGTGAGAAAAACAGCTTCCGTGAGATTATATATACACATGAGTACCTTTTACTCTCATGTGATATATACATGTTGAATTATATATATATATATATATATATATATATATATATGTGTGTGTGTGTGTGTGTGTGTGTGTGTGTGTGTGTGTGAAGCAATTTATTTTTATTCAAAGGACTCTGGAGAATTAACGGGGTCAGTTGAAATGGTGCCGTGAGCCTAAGGGCGCGTCATCTTTACTTATATCCTTTTAATTTGGCACAGAAGATTGATGACGTGTCATTAAAAAGAAATGCTGATATATATCCACTGCTCTGCAACGCAGCTGCAAGGCTTGACGTTACGTTTGGTAAATATTCCGTAGAGAACATTCTTCGACCGGGCGGAAGGACGACCAGATTTCTCGAAGAGGAATGACATGAAAACCTGGCGTGAAAAAAAAGAAAATATAAACAAACAAAAACGAGAAGGATGAGACTGTAGACAAATAAATAGAGAACAAAAAGCAAACAAGAAAAAAGAAAGAAAGAAAATCCAGACAAAGAAAACAGTGAAAGTAGAGGCTATAAACGAATAGTGGGAAGGGGGGAGGCATAAAAGAAAGAAAGAAAGAAAGAAACAAAAACAAATGAAAGAAAAAGAAAGAAGAAAAGAGAAGAATGGAAAAGACAAACAAAAAGAAAAGAACAAAGAGGTAAACACAAAGAAAGAAAGAAAGAAAGAAAGAAAGAAAGAAAGAGGGAAGAGTGAGAATGTAAAAAGAAAGAAAGGGAAAGAGAGAAAATGGAACAAACAAATAGACAAAGAAGAAGAAACAAATAAACAAACAGAAAGAAAGAAAGAAAGAAAGAAAGAAAGAAAGAAAGAAAGAAAGAAAGAAAGAAAGAGGGAAGAGTGAGAATGTAAAAAGAAAGAAAGGGAAAGAGAGAAAATGGAACAAACAAATAGACAAAGAAGAAGAAACAAATAAACAAACAGAAAAAAGAAAGAAAGAAAGAAAGAAAAAAAAAAGAAAGAAAGAGGGAAGAGGAGAATGTAAAAAAAGAAAAGAAAGGGAAAGAGAGAAAATGGAACAAACAAATAGACAAAGAAGAAGAAACAAATAAACAAACAGAAAGAAAGAAAGAAAGAAAGAGGGAAGAGTGAGAATGTAAAAAGAAAGAAAGGGAAAGAGAGAAAATGGAACAAACAAATAGACAAAGAAGAAGAAACAAATAAACAAACAGAAAAAAGAAAAGAAAGAAAGAAAGAAAAAGAAAGAAAAGAAAAGAGGGAAGAGTGAGAATGTAAAAAGAAAGAAAAGGAAAGAGAGAAATGGAACAAACAAATAGACAAAGAAGAAGAAACAAATAAACAAACAGAAAGAAAGAAAGAAAGAAAAGAAAAGAGGGAAGAGTGAGAATGTAAAAAGAAAAGAAAGGGAAAAGAGAAAATGGAACAAACAAATAGACAAAGAAGAAGAAACAAATAAACAAACAGAAAGAAAGAAAGAAAAAGAAAGAAAGAAAAAGGGAAGAGTGAGAATGTAAAAGAAAGAAAAGAAAGAAACAAAAAGGAAAGAGAGAAAATGGAACAAACAAATAGACAAAGAAGAAGAAACAAATAAACAAAACAGAAAGAAAGAAGAAAAGAAAGAAAGAGGGAAGAGGAGAATGTAAAAAAGAAAGAAAGGGAAAGAGAGAAAATGGAACAAACAAATAGACAAAAGAAGAAGAAACAAATAAACAAACAGAAAGAAAGAAAGAAAGAAAAAAGAAAAGAAAGAAAGAAAGAAAGAAAGAAAGAAAGAAAAGGAAGAGTGAGAATGTAAAAAGAAAGAAAGGAAAAGAGAAAAAATGGAACAAACAAATAGACAAAGAAGAAGAAACAAATAAACAAACAGAAAGAAAGAAAGAAAGAAAAGAAAGAAAAGAAAGAAAGAGGGAAGAGCAGAGAATGTAAAAAAAAGAAAAAAAAGGAAAGAGAGAAAATGGAACAAACAAATAGACAAAGAAGAAGAAACAAATAAACAAACAGAAAGAAAGAAAGAAAGAAAGAAAGAGGGAAGAGTGAGAATGTAAAAAGAAAGAAAGGGAAAGAGAGAAAATGGAACAAACAAATAGACAAAGAAGAAAAAACAAATAAAACAAACAGAAAGAAAGAAAAGAAAGAAAGAAAGAAAGAAAGAAAGAAAAGGGAAGAGTGAGAATGTAAAAAAAGAAAGAAAGGAAAAAGAGAAAATGGAACAAACAAATAGACAAAGAAGAAGAAACAAATAAACAAACAGAAAGAAAGAAAGAAAAGAAAGAAAGAAGAGGAGAATGTAAAAAAAAGAAAGAAAGGAAAAAGAGAAAATGGAACAAACAAATAGACAAAGAAGAAGAAACAAATAAAACAAACAGAAAGAAAGAAAAGAAAGAAAGAAAAAAAAGGGAAAGTGAGAATGTAAAAAAAGAAAGAAAAGGAAAGAGAGAGAAAATGGAACAAACAACAGACAAAGAAGAAGAAACAAATAAACAAAACAGAAAAAAAGAAAAGAAAAGAAAAAAGAAAGGGAAGAGGAGAATGTAAAAAAAGAAAGAAAGGAAAAGAGAAAATGGAACAAACAAATAGACAAAGAAGAAGAAACAAATAAACAAACAGAAAGAAAGAAAGAAAAGAGAAAGAAAGAAAGAGGGAAGAGTGAGAATGTAAAAAAGAAAGAAAGGGAAAGAGAGAAATGGAACAAACAAATAGACAAAGAAGAAGAAACAAATAAACAAACAGAAAGAAAGAAAGAAAGAAAAGAAAAAAGAAGAAGTGAGAATGTAAAAAGAAAGAAAGGGAAAGAGAGAAAATGGAACAAACAAATAGACAAAAAGAAGAAGAAACAAATAAACAAACAGAAAGAAAGAAAGAAAGAAAGAAAAAAGGGAAGAGGAGAATGTAAAAAAAGAAAGAAAGAAAGAAACAAAAGGAAAGAGAGAAAATGGAACAAACAAATAGACAAAGAAGAAGAAACAAATAAACAAACAGAAAAGAAAGAAAGAAAGAAAAGAAAGAGGGAAGAGTGAGAATGTAAAAAAAGAAAGAAAGGGAAAGAGAGAAAATGGAACAAACAAATAGACAAAGAAGAAGAAACAAATAAACAAACAGAAAGAAAGAAAGAAAAAGGGAAGAGTGAGAATGTAAAAAGAAAGAAAGAAAGAAACAAAAGGAAAGAGAGAAAATGGAACAAACAAATAAACAAACAAGAAGAAACAAATAAACAAACAAAAAGAAAGAAAGAAAGAAAAAAAGAAAGAAAGAAAGAAAGAGGGAAGAGTGAGAATGTAAAAAGAAAGAAAGGGAAAGAGAGAAAATGGAACAAACAAATAGACAAAGAAGAAGAAACAAATAAACAAACAGAAAGAAAGAAAGAAAGAAAGAAAGAAAGAGGGAAGAGTGAGAATGTAAAAAGAAAGAAAGGGAAAGAGAGAAAATGGAACAAACAAATAGACAAAGAAGAAGAAACAAATAAACAAACAGAAAGAAAGAAAGAAAAAGGGAAGAGTGAGAATGTAAAAAGAAAGAAAGAAAGAAACAAAAGGAAAGAGAGAAAATGGAACAAACAAATAAACAAACAAGAAGAAACAAATAAACAAACAAAAGAAAGAAAGAAAAAAAAAAAAAAAGAAAGAAAGAGGAAGAGTGAGAATGTAAAAAGAAAGAAAGGGAAAGAGAGAAAATGGAACAAACAAATAGACAAAGAAGAAGAAACAAATAAACAAACAGAAAGAAAGAAAGAAAAAGGGAAGAGTGAGAATGTAAAAAGAAAGAAAGAAAGAAACAAAAGGAAAGAGAGAAAATGGAACAAACAAATAAACAAACAAGAAGAAACAAATAAACAAACAAAAGAAAGAAAAAGAAAGAAAAAAAAAAAGAAAGAAAAGAAAGAAAAGGGAAAGTGAGAATGTAAAAAAAAAAGAAAAGGAAAGAGAGAAAATGGAATAAACAAATAGACAAAGAAGAAGAAACAAATAAATAAAAAAAAAGAAAGTAAGAAAAAGGGAAGAGTGAGAATGAAAAAAAAGAAAGAAAAGAAAGAAACAAAAGGAAAGAGAGAAAATGGAACAAAACAAATAAACAAACAGGAAGAAACAAATAAACAAACAGAAAAGAAAAGAAAAAAGAAAGAAAAGAAAGAAAGAGGAAGAGTGAGAATGTAAAAAAAAAAGAAAGGGAAAAAGAGAAAATGGAACAAACAAATAGACAAAGAAGAAGAAACAAATAAATAAAAAAAAAAAAAGAAAGAAAAAGGGAAGAGTGAGAATGTAAAAAGAAAGAAAGAAACAAACAAAAGGAAAGAGAGAAAATGGAACAAACAAATAAACAAACAGGAAGAAACAAATAAACAAACAGAAAGAAAGAAAGAAAAGAAAGAAAGAAAGAAAGAAAGAAAAAGGGAAGAGTGAGAATGTAAAAAGAAAGAAACAAACAAACAAAAGGAAAGAGAGAAAATGGAACAAACAAATAAACAAACAAGAAGAAAGAAAGAAAGAAAAAAAGAAAGAAAGAAAGAAAGTAGATACATGAACAAAAGAAAGAGTAAACAAATAAAAAGAAAAACAAACTGATTTCATAATAAATAAAAAGGAGTGTCGATTCATGCATCATTTGGAGACTTTCCCGGAGCTAAAGTTTTAAAAATTGATCGCTTCACTATTGTAAGATTGCTCGCCGTAGAAAAGTAGTAAATAAATTCGATACGGCTAGAGATTCTATCTTTGACGGATTTGCCAGTATAGTCGCATTGTATCGCGCCAAGCAATACTTAACAAAAATTTAATGAGAGTGTTTGGGGAAACGAATAAAAGAGATGATTCAAATGCGTATCGTCATCTTGTCTGCGTCAAACACAGTGTTTCACTTGGCCTATGTGATATAGTGATGTCATTAGCTCCCGGAACTAGTTTTTTTTTTTTTTTGCAAATAAAGGTAGCGCATGCGAGGGATATAGCAGGCAGATTTCAGATGCTCCCAAGTTTTAAAAGTGTGAATGCTCTCTCCGGGTTACTTGTGGGGGGGGGGGGTACCACTAAAAGAGGTTTTATCCCTAGTCTTTCATAAGCTGAAAGTGACCTACAGTCTACCCCTCTCCCGATCCTAAAAAGGAGAATGTTGGATTTGTACATTTTAAGACAGGCAAAAACGGAAATTTTAACTAACTTCGATTATCTGAAGCCAAAATAGTATAATTCTTCTGCATTCTTCTACATTGGAAACAAAAATAGTTGCATTAATTTTGCCAAGATATTTCACGAAACTGAAAAGTAAAATTCTGCCTTGAAATATTTACCTATTCACGATAATCATTTTTACGTATGGAGAATGAACTTCTGCCAAGATACAAAAACTAGGTAGCAACACGGATTCGCTGACAATTAGCAGACCACGATGAAAAAAGACGTATCGTCAGAATCTTTATGTTTTTATTAATAGGAAAGTCCAAAAGATTTTGATTATTAAATTATATTTTTTGATCTTTTTAGAACATTCCAAATTGTTTTTGTTGACGTCAGCAGGTTGCGGGATCAAACGTTAATATAGGAAAGTTTCGTATCTTTTTGTAGTGAAAAACACATTGATTTGGAAATTTTTGAAAAAATGAAATAATTGGCATATTTTAATTAAACTTTCAAGATTTATTCACAACTGAACGAAATTATTTTATAATTTTTTTTCTTAGAAAATCTTGGTAAAAATGTTTTTACCTCGTTAGCTTATTTAATTTTATAAAATTTCAAGAAATTAAATTTTTAGAACTTTATATTAGTTAAAAGCAGAAAACCTTGGAGAATTGAAATCAATTTTTTTTCTGTTACAGAAAATCTGATCTGAATCGTAAAATAAAAAATGCAATAAAACTAAGATATTATTTGATTAGAAAATCTTTTAATTGCTTATATGAATAAGATATATTATGGTCTCTAGAAAAACAATTCGATAAATTATGAATTTTTACAAGAATTATTTTCATTCTTTTTATTTTAATTAGAATAATTGTCTTACATTGCGGTAGTTAGCTGATATTATTATTAAGTAAAAACAATATCTGTCTATTATTCTTAGATGAGGTATTGTAATTATTTACACTATTTGCATTGTTCGGGCTGTTGTCCTCATCTTTGTTGCCATATTCACGACGTTTCGACCGTTGTACGCCCCGGCCTTCTTCAGGTGATTGGGATTCCGAACTGAAACGTTTATTTCGTCCACCGGGGTAAATTGTTCTAGTTCCACGTGCCATGACTCTTTCGGATGTCTCGATTATCTCCCTTTGACTCATCTCTCGAACTTTTTGTTCACCACTGCAGTAGCCATGTATTGAACTCACAACTCTTTGGGTCAAATTAATGGATCCAGCCAACGTTTTTATCCGCAGAAAGCACAGAGTTGTGAGTTAATTACCTGTTCACAGCAGATGGAACAAAAACTTGGAGGAACGGCACGTGGAAATAGAACAATTTCCCGCCTGGACTAAATAAATGTTTCAGTTTGAAATTCCAAGAAATATCACCTGAAGACGACTGGAGCGTATAACTTCGTGAATATGGTTATAAAGATGAGGAAAATGTGGCTTTGTATTATTTATGTTATATTTTTGGTGCAGCTGTAACTGATTTTAAAGTTATTTTTGTTGAATATTTTTGCTAATCGGTTAGTTTCAGAGAAGTGCTTTTCTATTAAGTTTAGGAATGTCCTTCCTATGTTTGTTTTGACGGTTTTGTTGTATGAGGGGGGGGTTAAACCAGATAATCTTTCTTTTTCTGTTTTTGCGTTTCGGTTGCGTATTGTGTATTGTAGTTGTTATGTTTATCCACTTCCTTTTTGTGCTTCGTCGTATGGTATTTTTGTTATTGAAAATGTCTATGTTAGATGAGTTTCAAATAGTCTGCGGCTGATTGATATGGGTATCTGAAAATAAAAAAAGCCACAAAAAACCCTACAATAATGCAACCAAGGAACCTCAGTGCAACTGCAGAAATAAAACAATATGTCCACTCCAAGGAAATTGCCAACAAACGAATGTAATATACAAAGCCATGGTAATTGCAAACAACAGCACATTGTACTACATCAGTGCCACTGAGGGACCATTCGAGAAGAGAAAAAACAACCACAACATTTCATTCTCCAACAGAAAATACTCAAACAGCACTATACTATCCACATGCATAAGACATCTAAAAGGCAGAAATATTACACCAGAAATAAGCTGGAAAATACTGAAAAAAAGTACCTGCCTACAACAACATTATAAAGAAATGCCTACACGAAAAAGTAGCAATAATTTCTCATACCCAACAAAAAATTTACTAAACATAAGATCAGAAATAATTTTCAAATGCAGGCATGAAAATAAATATCTATTATCAGAATTTATGCCAAACGGATAAAAAAATACCAACAAACACTACTACATAAACCATCATTGACCCTATAAACATGAAAAGAGAAATCACTGACACCATATCACCATCAAATATTTTCTAGTTCAAACTACCATCATAATAATTATAATTATTGTTATTATTCCACCACCATTACTACGATCACTTCTACTACTTTACAATAACTATTTGCTGCTACAATTGTTATTATCATCACACGCTCCTCCCACTATTACTACCACATCACAATTACCATTGCCGTATTAGAACACAATTACCATTACCGTATCAGTCCACAATTATACTTACTTCTCCCTCCCCCAGCAAAATTAATACCACTACATAAATACTAATAAGTATTACAAATTGGAATTTCTATCATTTACAAATTGCCAAAATCAAGCAAATAAACGGCTTTAAAATAATAACAAAACAGCCTTAAAAAATTAAAAATAATAGCAATTTTTACCTACCATAGTCTTACACAGACCCCATCATACATATATACGTGCGTGCGATGAAATATTATTCAACGAACAAAAATAGAAAAAACGGTCTGTGCGATGACAGCGCAACAAACAAAAAAAATATTCGCTACACAATCCAACATTGAATACAGCGACCAAATGCGTACGTATGTGCGCAACGACACATATATGAGCATATATGCCCAGTCCCACACTGTTCACATATGTTTGTGTTTGCGTGAGCTCCGGTGAGTGAGCGTGCGTGTATGTGTGTTTGCGTACGTCAATGAGTATACGGGCGTGTATGTATATTTGCGTAATTATGAGTGGCGTTCCGACGACAATTTTTCCTCCCACTTCCATAAAAAACATCGATATACGGAACCATATATAAATCCAAAATTTAAAAATTAATCAGTTTGTCTGACGATCACAAATAGCGTGAAACCCAGTGTCACAAACTCACATCAATCCAACTAATTATGACATTTTCTTACTATGGACTCATGGATCAGAAAAATTAAAAAACATTTTTACTTTCTGCAACAACTTCCATGATACAATTAAATTTACCATGGAGCACTCATACACATCCGTCCTTTTCTTAGACGTTATGATAAAATTAAACAAACATACACTTTCTACCAGTCTATACAACAAACCCACAAACCAACATAAATTCCTGCACTTTAACAGCTGTCATCCCCTTAAATTAAAAAAATCTACTGTATACAGCTTATTTCTAAGAATCAAACGCATATGCTCAGACCATCTAGACTTTCTATACAACATTAATAACTTAACAAAACAATTCCTAAAATATAAATACCCAATAAAAATAATAAAAGAAGCACTAAATAAAACTATCCTGATAAATCGTAACACACTTCTCACATACAAGAAAAGTAAAAACAACAATCGGATTCCCATAGTTTTTAACCACAATCAATATTCCCACACACTTATTCACAATTTAAAAAGGATTACAAGAACCTCCAGTTAGACAAAAAGATCAAAGACATTTTCGATAAACCACCCATAAATGCAAATAAACAATCACCTAACCTATCAGCTATCCTCACCTCTACCAAATATCTAAACAATAGAAACCAATCAGGAAATTACAAATGTAACAAACCTCGTTGCTTAGTTTGCAAACACTTAATAATAGATAATGTATTTTCTGTACCCAACACCAATATCAAGATACACCCTCCTCGCTTCACCTGTGATAGCTATAACATAATCTACTATTTATTCTGCACAATATGTCCTAATAGTGGATATATTGGTGACTCTGGAAATAATTTTAGATTTCGCTTCAACAATCATAAACTAACCATACGTCAAAACAATCATTATTCCCCAATAGCTGAACACTTTAATCAATCAGGACACTCATTAGAAAACTGTAAATGTTTATTGATAGATTCTGATTTCAGTTCCACATACACACGCAGAAAAAAAAAGAAAAATACTGAATTTTAAAATTAAATACATATAAACTAGGGTTAAATAAAGACTTGGGTATTTTAAATCTTTATAAATATTTCAATAGTTAAACATTTTTTAGATATAGTTAAAATATTTTTTTAAACAACATCTAAAATATGATTACAGTTAGATTTACGTTAAAAATATTCGAACACAGTGACGTTCCATATCACGTGACGTCCGCATCTCGCGACAGACGCGACTTGTAAACAAACCTCTAAAAACAGTTATTTCTGAAGAAAGATCGAGGTCGAT